CTTTATAAAGGCCGTCTCCTCGATGTCATTGGCATTGACCAAGGCTAATGCTTGCCTCAGCTGAGCAAATGTCTCTACCAAATTCAGTTGCACTGGTTCCAGGGATCCAGAAGTCATAGGGAGGAAGCGGTGGGACAGAAGGACACACGTACAGACAGACAGCACAAGTGAATGCACAGCCTTGTGGCAGGAATCTGGAGTCATTTGCAAATCCAGCTGAAAAGAACAATTTGCTATGAAATTAATTAAATACCCATTTATACTGAGAGATTGACCAGAACTTTCTCCAAGGCTAGAGTTTGGGCATTTGTGGCTTGGCCACAAACAGATGGTTTTGCAAAGCCAACGAAATGAGGCATGGGGGGCAGATATTTAAGAGGATTAAGAATCAGATCCTCCATATTTAGCTAGGGGTTTTCATTTGTTTGTTTGTTTCCAAATTCCTTTTGAAGCTCTAAATAATCCCCTGCGATACTTGGATAAAACAAAGTTTTCAAAGCTATGCGTTTGAAATCAGGAAAGCCAAACACTGCCGATAAATTTCCATATTCTCTTTGCTTTATCTCTTCACTAAAAGGCTGTAATTTGTGTGATTGATTGGAAATGTATGTGGCTATTTTGTTGGCCTAGCATAATATTGCACTTTGTGAGTCCATTCTCTACCCAAAGCAGGTACGCTGCATCTTGCTTCCATGTCATCAGAAAAAGGATTATCATATGGTCTCCCCCTTGGACTATGAATTAATTAAGTCAGATTTAGGGTATCCAGCAAGCACTGTTGTCCTGTAACAACATGCTAAATCAACGAAACTCTCTAGCCTGTGTTGTAGGAAATTTTGAACGAGAGAAGCGGGGTTTTCTAGCCCTGAAACCTCTGCAAGTAAGACAGATGGTAGTTTGCCTCCCAGAAAATGTGCTGTAAAGAGATAGGATGCAACTGGATGCATGAAAAACATGCAGTAACAGCAGAAGTTAACATTGTTTGGCTTATGAGTGGAAGAGACACCTTTCCTCTCTGCCACCCCTGGATTTCCAGGCAGACAAACCATTTAGGTTGGAGGAGGAATGGTGATGCGCCCTTTGGACAAGATCCAGCACAGCTTTGCATCTGGCTGATGGGTCTTCAGCCACCCTGTTGCTCAGGCTGCTGTGGCCTCTCTGCCTTTGTTCCCTTCTCACCCAGGTAGCCACATTCAGACCCCAAGTGTGTAAATAAGAGCGATATCCAAGCAAGAGTAGGCAGTGTAACTGCTTTGGGGCAGAGTATGGATGCTCATGCCCTGGTGCTAGATAAACTCTTTTCACCTGAAATGCCTTTGCTCCGCCGCTTTTTACATACTGATGTAATATGCAGCTCTGTCTCATCTCTTTTCATCTTGTCCTCAGAAACCTGCTGTTTTCCCCAGTGTCACAAGAAACCATCCTGCAAGATCCTTGCAGTTAATACAATCAAAGTGATGATGCTTCCATTAAGAAAGCAGCAACCCACCAGATGTAAAACGAGCTGCCAACTGCTATGATGCCGCCTGAGCAATGCTATAACCTTGCTCTGCATTTTCCTTCTTCCTTCCCTCCCTGCCCCAGCCATCCCTCTGTGTGACAGTCCATGAAGGCCCCAGGCTCCTCGGCAGAAACCAAGGCCTGCCAAGTCAACTGGAAAATTTGATGGAGCAAGAATCTTACCTAATGTCTCTACTTTTTTTTTGTGGAACTATGGTACACATCTGTCCTGCTAAGGCAGAGAGATTTCAGTAATGGCACTTTTTAGCCTCAGCTGCTGAAGTGAAGCAGAGGACGCATGTTAATGGGTATGGTATTCAGCTATTGAAGACGTGCTAAAGGGCCACTCTCGCTCTCTGTTAACATAATGGTGTGAGGCCTTTTGAGAGCTGTGACGCCATTTGCAGAAGGGTGGAAAATATGAGGCTGAGTGTGTGTATGAGATGATACAACAACTCTGGGGTTAGTCAGCACTGAGCTCAGCTAGGTCTAGTGCTCCCAGCACCTTGGTAACACAAGTACCTTCGTGCATTGATTTCTGTCTGAGATTAAGTGTCTCCCTAGTTGCAATCATTCCAAGAGATTTGTTTCCCTAAAAAGACATGACCAAATGAAGTCAAGTGTAAGATTTAGGTGCCTGGAGGAAATATGAAATTACAAAACGTGCACAAACAAAACTGTTACCCCCCAACGCTTAAATCATGGTAAACATGGACCCTCCTAAAAGTGACTAGTGGGCTCTAGAGGCAATTTCGAGATCTGGGATTTGAGCTAATTACGGAAGGAAAGCGCTATGTTGTCTGCTATGGCTCAGCCCACTGTAAAGATATGAGAAAGAGGGAAAAGTTCCAGTCTTAATGTCAAAAATTCTCAGAATCCAGGGTCACATCATACTGAGGTTTATTTGGCCCTAACCATAGTCAGTGAGCTTTGACTTACAGGCCAACAAACATGGATAGACAAAATGAAAGGCTTTTTTTTAGAAATACAGGCCTGTGACTGAAAACAAGGCTGAGGAGCTTCCGAAAGTGCCACCCAGCGAACAGTTAGGTGCTCCCTCTCAAGCCTGGCTAACCCATCAAGCCCTCTGTGGTGGCTGGGCAAGCCCTGCGCCTATCATCAAGTGGGGTCTAATCTGGGAATCAAATAGTACACATGATCCCACTTAAAAACATCACTCTGGTATTTCTTATCTGACATATGCTGCAGGATGGGTTATGGATTTCCGGTATCTTAAGGAAGGGATCTTTTAATTGAAAGCCCTAATATTTCTCATAATATTTAAAATTAGAGCAGAACAGCAATAAAATTGGTCACGGAATTGATACAAGTTTTAAGAGAGAGAAGGAAATTTATTTTTCATTTTTACATTAGAGCATCCTCGAGAAGCCCATACACACTTGACTACATCAATACAGAGATTAATAATGAAAGGAACAACCACCAAATGTCTCTGAGGTACACACAAGAAAGCAAAAGCTTAAACTGGAGGCTGGAGCCTCTGGGAACAGACTGTTTTTACCGGCATTTTACCTCTGCCTGGTGTTCCTCTTTATTTAGAATAGTGCTTTTCTACCAGCCTCTCCTAAGGATCGTATTTACCTAGCAATTTGTAGCTAATGGTTAAGCTCAGCATCAGTCTGGCAAATTTTATCTGTGTGTGTTATCAGATTGATTTTGAAGGAAGGCTCAGGGGTGTTCATGTAGATTATAAGTGATTCTGATAGATGTGAAGTTTTGGAGCGAAACTATCCTGACGCCAGCAGAAACCTTTGCAGAACATGGTGGTGTTTTAGCTAACCAGGCTGTCCGAGGCCAGTGCAACTTGGAGCTGTGGTGGCCCAGACTTTGGAAAAAGCAGGCTCCAAAATTGCTTTCTCTCAACTCTCCAGAGCCAGATGGATGTCAACAGGCTACTGCGATGAGATGGAGCCGTTTCGTTCCAGAGCGTGGCCCGAGGCCAAGCAGACGCCTCAGTGCGCCGGTCTGCAGAGCTGTCCTAACACGCGATCCAACACGCATCCGCACTGTGGGCCCTGCTGATGGCAGGGAAGGAGCCGAGCGCTGGACACAAGGGAATTCAGAACGTTGGCTTATAAAAGGCCTGGGTAGCTCTGGTCCATCTCTGACTTGAACGCGGTTTCTCTGACCAGGCCCAGACTCAGCTTCCTCTCCCCGCCAGTCTCTTGCTTCCTCCATATTGGTTGTTTTCTCATTCATTAAAAACTTGCTAATTATCTCAGCAGCTTGGAACTGGGTCACAGCAACGAATTAAAATCAGCTTTTTATATTGGCATTCACTATCTTCTGTAATTAATAAGAAAAGACAAAGCCAGAATATGAAGGTCAGCCTTGCAAGTGAGGAGGAGACTAATCTGACATGGCGAGCACTGGAGCTCAAAGCTGTGGCACTTGAAGGCCAGGTTCGGCAAGGATAGCTTGCATTTTTTGGGTCAAACTAGGAAAAAGAGGGAGGAGATGAGGTTCATTCTTTCCTAGTTACTCCCCTCTTTTCTCTAATTTTAACTCAAAATCAAGACCAAGTTGTGCTGAATGAAAAATCTGGTGCTTTGTACTACATCTTCAACTCTTTGCTGAGAAAGAAATGGGAAAGCAATCTAACAAAGCTCAACAGCATGTTTTCTTCATACCTGCCAGGCAAAGAAAACTGGGATGCGGTAACAGTATGGACTGTTGCAAATGGGTATTTTGATAGAGATCTTAAAAATGGCTGAAGTAACCTAGTGAAGTCATCTGTGAAATCGAAGGAGGAATAATCACAGTTTGCTCTCCCATAAATGTCAGGTCCTCTCCCCACTGCTTTGGCAAGAGCAAGCAGTCACCAAATCCAGATGGAAACCTTTCTTGCTTACCGTACCCAGGCAGCAACACCAAGGGGCCAGCTCCACATGGATCGAGGGCCCCATCTTACAGAACCACGTCCAGGCGACATAGCTCTTTCCCCCTCACCTCCCTGCCCTATCTTTGCCCAGGACAACTGCAGCAGCCACACAGCTTGGTTCAGCTGCCAGCTGGCCATGGGGCAGCCCTCTGCCTTTGAGCACTGAGCTCGGCCTGTAGACGTGTGAAGAGATGTGGCAGCACCAGGACAGAAGGGATGTGATCCTCCTCCCAGCTTGGCGGAGCTACAGAGCATTTGTCAAGCCCAAACTTTCTTTCCGTTTGGTCTGGGAGCACTTGGGCTCATCTCACCGACCATGCTGCCAATAGCATCTCTGCTTACGCTGCACAGGGTTGCTAACATCCATGCCTACTCTCCCGAGCATCGATTTACAATTTGTTGCTACTGCCACCAAGTAACTACACTTGCTGCTTACTACATAGTTACTGGGTTGCCAGAATGCTCCTGACGGGCTGCAAATTGCTGCTGAAGCCGGCAGGCCAGAGAGAGAGAAGATCGCTCCTAAGGGAGCAACAATGCCAAATTGGGATTCTAGCCCTTTAAATCCTATCAGTTACTGAAAAAGGGAGAGAGAGAGAGAAGGAGAGAGCCTTCAGACTCTTTTAATTAAAGCTTGTACTATATTCTGTCTTTCCAAGTAGCTGCAGTTACTCTAGCTCCTTCAGAACAATTTAAGTGTTCACCAGCACCACGGCATGGATCGGGGAAGCTGCTCACCTGAGACCACCAGCAGTAGGTACGCTGCTTTTCGACGGCCGTGGGAGTGCTACGCTAAGGGACCGGGCTGCTTGCATGGCTTCTCCCTCTCCTCATTGTCAGCTGAAAGTGTCCCCATTTTTCATGTCTTTTCATTTTCTGGATAGAAATTCTAATTTATTGCTTTTGGCTCCCTGCCTTGCTTGGGTAGGGTGGCGGGAGGATTGTGCGGTGTCCTCCTCTGAGCACACCTTGGGGCAAGGGGCTCTTTTCATCCTGCTGGGAATGGTTCACTCTTTTCTTTTTCTTTCTTGCTCTCTTTCTCCCTCTCACTCTATTTTAAATAACTAAGTGCATGACCTAGAGTTTTTCTTTTTCCTAAAATCAAAGATCTGCCATTCGGTGGAAGATAAGTTGGGCTACCTATTTCATAAATTACTGGAGTTGTTCCCTGTCACTTTCTCTCCATAAATTGCCCCAGCTGGCTATAGTTTCTGCTCTTCTTCCCTCAGCCTTCCCTTTCAAGTGTACTATGTTAAGAGAGTTTTGCCATATCTTTTCATGCGCATTGCACTCATAATGCAGAGCATTTCCTAAGAGCCTCACAACCAAATCCCGGGGTTATTAGGAAAGATGATGTTGTATTCATACTGGAGTTTCATCTGCTCAGCAGTGTAACCAATAGTAGCTTTATCTGGTCTTATAAATTGTCCTTCATTGTGAACATTATGCACGGAGAACATTTAACTGCTAGCTATCACATTCACCAATTGATTTTTCTTTCCCTCTTTGCTCCTAACTGAGTGATATCTTCATTTATGTTTCTACACAACAGAGCTATTTCTTTAAATTATGTATTGCTGTTCCTTCGTTGCTGTCTCTGCAAGCAGGTTGAGTGCATATTTAGGATTCCTTAACCTTAATGAGAAATGTTTTTTATCTATGCAGTCAGGTTCCAGGTGAGACTGGGTCCTGAGGACCCCTCTCTCCTGGGTGGCTCCCAGAAGGGGAAAAGAGGCTCTGCGAGGATAACATTTGTCCTGATGCCTATCTGAATTTAATAACACTTTTGACAAATAGCAGACCTCCTTGAGACTTGAAATAGTGCAGAAAAAACAGCCACTAATCTCCCTGAAAAGTGCTAGATTGTAGCCACCATACTCAGTAAATTAGGAAACAAGCTGTTTATGTATGGCACGTTGAGACATTAGCACAGCAAAAATGCTTCCATTAATCCACCGGCAAAAACTCTGACTTGCCATTGTTTCGAGGGCAGTGGGCATGTTAGAAAATATTGTGAGCTTAGCATTATCTCAAAGCACATGGGAACTTCAGGGCAGCCCAGCAGGGTCACGGCAGTGGGCTATGTGCTGCTGATGGCATTCATCATGAGAGTCTTCATAGAGAGACGGGACAAGAAACTTCCAAGCGAGCAAGGGAAGCTAGAGCCATATATCTATATATGAGCAGCTAAGCAAGTCCATCTAGAGGTATCAGGTGTCTTGTGGGCAGCAAGATGTTTTGACAGGAACAGTTGAAGGAATGAACTTCGAGAGGAGATACATTGCCTGGAAGCAAAAGCCAAAGATGCCAGAGCAGAGTGAAATCTGCAGCACAGGCTCCATGTTTAACTAATAAGGGTGCAGAGCTGCTGAAGAAAACAAATGTTGTGCACCCTGGGGTTATGCATTTATCAGTTTTCCTGGTCTGGCTTCCTTTCATCAGTGGCTCTATGTCTTTGCTGAAATGTTTGCTGGTAACATTTTAACCATTTGTGACTTTTGGTGACATTATGAAGGAGCTTGGACCTTGTGACTGAGGCATAGGATAATAGCTCCGTTGTTTTCAACTTGCAGAGGAAAAATAAATGACCTGGCAAGGAAACTTGAAAGTGCCTTTAGTTGTGTGGGTGAAAAAAATATGTGTCTGTGATCTGAACAGAGCTGCAGGCTCTGCAGAAAAACTATTCTTGGGTGAAGCCGGAGAAACCTGTCTTGTTCTGCTCTGTGGAGCTAGAAAACACCTAGTTGATCCCACTGACTGCTGTTCTGCAGGTAGGCAAGAAAGATTTAAAGCTAAAACCCCCTCATCATGGATCAGAGCCCCCCTAGCAAACTGGTGCTGCAACAGGACAGTGGCCAGCGATGGGGTGCATGCTATCCTCCGTCCGGCACGGCAGGCACCCAGAAGGGAGGATGAACTGCTCCCAGGCTGCGTAACTACCTGGCTGCCTGCACAGAAGAGATGTCGGCCTTCAGTTTTTCCCACATGGCTTTGGTGTGAGCCCCTGTGGGCTCTGCTGCAATGGGGAGCAGCTGAAGAGCTCTGCTGGAGGCAGAGAGAGAAGTCCAGTGCAGTGCTGGGGAGACGGCGCCTGGCTACAGCTTCGCATTGTTTTTCCAGAAAGATTGGTGATAAAGTGGAATTTGAACACCACCAGCAAATATGGCTGGGGAGAGGAAAGATTAATAGAGCAAAATACGTATCTTGGTTCAGCAAAGTGACTCAAGCCTTGCAAGCATATGGAGGGTGGGGAGTAATTATTTATAGTGCCATCAGCAGAAATAATAGAATGAAGGGCTGAAAAGTTATGCTGACTATCAGGGAACACTTCCTGGCACCGAATGATATTTTCTAGGCTGAGTCCATTGCATCCCCAGCTCCACGGAGTTTGCAGCCTCTGTACTCAACGTTGGTGGTGCCTAGTGTCAGCAAATCCTCAGCCTGGGTGGGACCCCACTGAAAACGGATGGATAATGTTTAGGAGTTGAGCTGAACCCGTAAGGAGAATATAATTTAAATGTCAGACATGACTTCCACCCCTTGAGTCACCTCTGATATTTTTATCCATGTGGATATTTACAATTTGACAATAAAAAAGGGACTACAGGGAGCAGTGCTCTGCTGGCAGAGGAGGACTGGGGTGGCCAAATTTGGGGCGTCCATTGTAATTCTATGAGCATTGCAATTAAAAAAGAAAAAATAAAATCCATTTTCAAGATCAGCAGTTAGTGTAATTCAGTGCATTGTCCTCCTGCATTCTGCGTTTCAATAACGCTCTTGAACCATAATGACAAAAAGAATTAGAGGGATTGGCAGACAGATGTATACAGAGACTCGCTCACCTGGCATCGCTGAAATTAAAGGTGATTTGCATAAGATTTTCTTTTCTAAGTTGAGAAAATTGAGTTTGGACTCCTCTTAGTTTCTTTGTGGTGACGAAAAGGCCTCTTTCTTTCCTTTCTTTCTTTACTCTTGAATGATGAAGAGTACCAAGCTTGTCTCTCCTTCTTTGGGCAGACGCACTGGTGGGCTGTGACGGTTGCTGTGGTTGCTGTATTTTGGAAGAGTGGATTT